CTTCTCAGTTTAACGATCAATGAAATATACCTTTTTACAGCAGAAACAAACGATCGCATACTAATCCGTTGATTTTAACGAGGTCGAGGTTTCGAACGATCTAAAATGAAGTTTGAGGAAAAGAATGGTATAAAATCCGACGGTGTGTCGAATGACGTAAAGCTTGTAGCATTGCAACGTTATAAAATTCTTAATACAGCATTGTCTATCAAAAGATTGCAGCGTAAGCCAGTGGATGACTTTAACGCAGTGTCTTCGAGTTGCTCGTAAGAACACCGTAAAAAGGAATTCTGGTTAGAGCACGATTACTGAACGACTCTTGAGAAGTATCTATATGACCGGTTTACCAGAATGGGATGCGTTTATCGCGTTTTTCTCGCAGGATGTTACATCTTCCTGGAAGCGTCAGCTTCGAGATTCTCGTTGAAACCTTTCTTCGAACTTTCCCCTAAAGTTTCATGCGCTGTGAAACCCCTGCGAAAGTTCGAACAACTGCACTACGGTTTATAAGTATTAGGATACTTTCTGAATATAAAGGAAATTTAAACAGCGCTTACAAAATTACTGTCATCCAAAAAAAGAATATTCAGCCTGGAATCTTATAGCAGATACGTGATTAATCTAGCGAAGGAATTTTATTTACATTATATTTCATATTTTCGAAGCAATTTATGTTTTCAAAATACTGAAAACTCCAGGATCATTTTTCTACTTGAGACGCACGTTAACAATAACCAAAATCCTAATAACAAAAACAGCCTCCTCCTCACGTCCGTGCCATAAATCGCTGCGCTCAACACTAATAAAGGAAATATATTTACCATAATACTTCGATTGATGTATTTATTTCGTACCTTACACATTTGATACAAAAAGAATTGCGATTACACTGAGCGAATACCAGGAAGACCCTGCATTCCACTTAACCCACGCCCGTAAGGACTTTGTGCGTTTGTTTTGAGAAAATAGTTGCCTCTCCTGTAAAGTTAATTATATATTAGGCTAATAAAAACGAGTAACAGGTATGAAAAAGAAGAAATAATAAAATTAAATTTAATAGAAACTATTAAAAATTGAACAGAAATTATACTAACGTATTGGGTGAAGTACCATAACCCATGACAGCAGTTACATTTTGGTTACATTCTCCTGCGAAGAGGACTAATGATCTTGAACAACTAACACCTATGAACTCGTTCTTTCCCACTGATTCCGCGTAGAATATGTAGGATCTATGATGACTGCAGAAATCTGCAACACGTTCAGAGAAAAAGCAATAAATCCTCAAGGATAAGAAGATAGAAAAGCGCTGGTGACATCGACTTCCGTTTCGTTTTATCCAGCAATACAATATCGTATCCTACTTCCTTTCTGAGATAAACGATCGATAGTGTTCATAATACTGCCGGGAAACGTACTATGCTATTTCCTTGTGCAATTTAGGGAACAAGTCTAGTACTACCGTTTTCAGGAAGAAGAATACGTGTAACGATCTTAAATCTCTTGGAAAAACGAATGGAACTATAAGTACAAATAAGTGTCAGCTATCGTACAAGTGATACCTACAAAAGTATCTGAGATTTCATAAATATACATATATGTTTTGGAATATCAACCATTCGCAATATTTCAAATCCAAAAATGAATCGATCTTCAAAAACAATGATATTTTTTGTAATAAAAATTATTTGAACGTAAGATGGAACTGCAAGGAGAATTTTTTCAAAATCATCGAAACTCCTAATTTAATTTTTTAAATTTAGGTTGCTTCGAAATTACACTTCTTACTTTTTTCTCAATTTAAAAAAGAGGAAAGAAAAATGATCATATATTGATGCAATTATTAACAGAAATTTGGAAACGAATCCGTCATTGTTAAACGCAAATGGTAACCAAGACTCTGCTATGGGAAAATACGAATTACTTTTACTGCTTTGCATATGAACATATATTAATAATTATACAAATATATTCAATCGAGCATATATTAATAATGCATCCTTTATTAGTTTATAAAGTGCAGAATTAAAAAGAAACGAACCCGGTGGTGACAGTATCGGCACAAGCAACGGGCAGCCAGGCTGCACTCTGACACCGTCGTTTGGAAAGAAGTCAGCGTGACCTATTGACAAAGCCAACCCGTAAATACCTATATCAGTATGTATAATATCGACGAAATCGGCGTCGCCCGCAGACAAATGAATGTTGAGCTTGTAAAAGAGAGGTCCAGCAGGATCCAAGCCTGGAAAAGAGATTCTCATTAGACTCATATACTCGATGATCAAACTTAAATAAATTTTCTACACAAGAAAATGTTTTACTTCTCGTTGATATCTACTTTAACGAGTTAGTGGTTCTTTTAGCTAAATTTTAGAAAATTTATAAATACCTGTTATCCTGGAAACTCTGAAATTTGTATGACGTGCCACAGATCCTGCAATTTCACTACCCAAGGAGTGTCCGATCAAATGTACATTTGTAACGTTCGCTTTAGAAGCCACTATAGTGTCTAATGCATTAGCTATAGTCGCACCGACAGTGTCAAGTAATGCAACAGAACTGAAATAGCTCATATCAGCGATCTCGCGGTAATCAAGTGCAATTATATTCTTGGTCGTGTACTTCAAATACGCTGCATTAATGAAAAAAAAAATAAGTATTAAACATTTTTTGTTCAAAATTAATTAGTCTGAATTAACATGTAAGATGCCTATATCAGATTTAAAGGAATAGTTTAAATGAACGAATTACTGTGCGCTCCTTGTAGCTTTGGAAAACTGACGGATAATATTGAAAATTTCGTGAAACGATCAAAATTCAAATTAACATGTTAGTTACTGTCAATTAATTCACGAACAAGATGCTCGATTGTTGTTACAAACGTTTCTAATGCAGCAAAAGTGAATAGGAATCAAGGTAACACGTACATACTTTCAAGTTATTCGGCTTGCCGGCGTTTCTTATAGTCTCGATTGTGACACATATTAACGATGTGCTTTTGTTCTAAGAGTTATTTATCAAGTACAATGGTGACATAGAACTGTGAAGTAACCGCTCAGAATCAGGTTTGAATTAAAATATTCGTACGAGAATCTGCTTGATTATTACACGAACTGGAGTCTCCTAATAGGAGATCTTCAACTTTTCGGCACGTGGAATTGAAATTCATCGCAAACTCTAATTGAATCGCAGTTTCGACGACGAAATTAATAACGCTGTTAATTGATCGAACTCTCTAAACGTCCTTCAACATTTTCATATACCGTTTAATCGAAAAGTTATCCAGAATTTCCGTCGGTGCTTGAAAAATGTTGAGAAACACAATTACGAACGTTACTTTCCTTCTAACTTTCTTTCTTAATTTCAACTCATAACTTACCGTCAGCTACAAGTTGAGGACCCTCATTATCCACGCTTTCTGTAAAACCATGGATGTACATTACTAACGTTTCGTTGCTTCTCAACTGAGGCACCAATTCTTCTGCATTTCGTGCATATACATCGAGGTAAGAGCTGTCCCTGAGAGAAAAAAGGGTGAACTTAAAACGTGCAAACGAATAATTATAATAAAAATGGAAATAAACGCAATCAAATCGATACATGAATGAAAAATTACTTCTATCAGTGTGTCAAAATATTTACTTGTTATACAAACGCAAGAACATGTTATCTGTTGAACCTCTTGTTGCATCTGCGAACAAAGTTGAATTGAAAATATTATTAACAACGAGACATTACAGCCAATGGTTATTTTCACCCTAAATTTACGAATTTATTTTATCGTTCGTTACTTTATGAAAATACAACAGTGTCATTTTGTTTATACAACGAAGAAAATCAATATTTGCGATATTAATTCGAAATTCAATGTCAATTACATTGCACATAATGCAGCAAATAGAAAGCATATATTTTATTCAATAACTTCGATAAATGTACAACTAGAACAAACTTCGAGGATTTAAAGCTTACCGATACGTGAGTCTTTAATAATCACATTACGTTCCTCGAAACTAAAGTGACGTTACGAAGCTCCAAAGTTTAAAGTGTCAATTATCCCAAGTGTAGTTTCAAATATTGCTCTCTACTTTTCAAAACAAACAACGATCTTTCGGGGACCTACCTGCCAGCAGACACTTGGCTAGAATAAGCAATACGACCATGCAATGGAGCATCATGTTGAAAAATGTATCAGTCTTCGATGTACACTACCTTTTGGTTTGTCAGCAAATACCTATTATAAACGAGTAAGTTAATTTATACACTACGTTAATGTGTTTCTAAAAATGTGGGCATAACTTTAGGGACAGATTCATTACGTTAAAATAAGAAAAAAAGTTTATATGAACATATGCCCAATATGACCTTGTTTCCGTATTATAGCCGTTTTTTGTGAAACCTGTTATTTAATAATTTTCAATGAAACTGTTCGAAGTAGTCACCCTCGGCTAGAATGCAGGCGTCCAAACGTCGTATCAATGTAAATTATCATTCAAATTGTTATGAAATGTATTAGATGATCACTCCAAATTATTATGAAATGTATTAGCAAATTGCCATATGTGCTGTTACCACGAATAACATGATTAAACTGATTGAAACAAATTACGAAATGGGGTTTACATAGCATACCAAAAGGTCGAGCATGAGATAAGAAGCGTTACTTGTAGATAATTAAAAGAAGAAGTCAACAGATTACTGGAAGAAAAAACGGCTATAATTCGGAAAGAAGGTCATATCGGGCATATGTGCATATGAACTTTTTTTCTTATTTTAGCGTAATGAATCTATCCCCGAAGCTATGCTCACATTTTAGGAAGCACCCTGTATAAAAACGAACTGTCTCGTTTTCACGGTGTATTTCGTTCATTTCCCTGAAAACGATTTAGGAAACATAAAAAATTACACACAGCAGAAAATAAAGGAAACATATGTAGTACAATACTTCGATTGCTGTATTTATTTCGTAACTTATACATTTGATACAAAAAGAATTGCGATTAAACTGCGCTAATACCAGGAAGACCTTGTATTCCATTTAGCCCTCGAAAGAAAGGACATTGTGCGTTTGTTGTGAGAAAATAGTTGCCTCTCCTGTAAAGTTAATTATATATTACGCTAATAGAAACGAGTAACAGGTATGACAAAGAAGAAGTAATAAAATTATATTTAAAAGAAGCTATTCAAAATTGAAAAACAATTATACTAACGTATTGGGTGGAGTACCGTAACCCATGAGAGCAGTTACATTTCGGTTACATCTTTCTGGGAAGAAAACTAAAGTTCTGGAACAATTAGCACCTATGAACTCGTTGTTTCCCACTGATTCCGCGTAGAATACGTAGGATCTATGATGACTGCAGTAATCTATAACACGTTCAGAGAAGGAGCAATAAATCATCAAGGATAAGAGAAGAGAAAAGTGCTGGTGACATCGAATTCGGATTCGCTTTATCCAGCAATACAATATCGTATCCTACTTCCTTTCTGAGATAATCGATCGATAGTGTTCATAATACTACCGGGAAACGTACTATGCAATTTCCTTGTGCAATTTAAGGAACAAGTCTAGTACTACCGTTTTTAGGAAAAAGAATACGTATAACGATCTTAAATTGGTTGGAAAAACGAATGGAACTGTAAGTACAAGTAAGTGTGTGCTATCGCACAAGTGACACCTACAAAAGTATCAGAGATTTTATAAATATACATATATATTTTTGGAATAACAACCATTCGCAATATTTCAAATCCAAAAATTAATCGATCTTCAAAAACAATGATAGTTTTTGTAATAAAAATTATTTGAACGTAAGATGAAACTGCAAGGAGAACTTTTTCAAAATTATCGAATCGTTTAAGTACATACACCTAATTTAATTTTTTAAATTTAGATTGCTTCGAAATTACACTTCTTACTTTTTTCTCAATTTAAAAAAGAGGAAAGAAAAATGATCATATATTGGTACCATTATTAACAGAAATTTGGAAACGAATCCGTCATTGTTAAACGCAAATGGTAACCAAGACTGTACTATGGTAAAACACGAATTAGTTTTACTGCTTAGTATATGAATATATATTAATAATTATAAAAATGCATTCCATAAGGGCATATATTAATAATGTATCCTTTATTAGATTAAAAAGTGCAGAATTAAAAAGAAACGAACCTGGTGGTGACAGTAAGGTCGTATGCAACGGGCAGCCAGGCTGCACTCTGACACCGTTGTTTGGAAAGAAATCAGCGTGACCTATTGACAAAGCCAACCCGTAAACACCCATATCAGTATGTATAATATCGACGAAATCGGCGTCGCTCGTCGACAAATGAGTGTTGAGCAGGTAAAACAGAGGCCCAGCAGGATCCAAACCTGGAAAAGAGATTCTCGTTAGACTCATATACACCGAAACATCGAAGGCCGCTAATTAAACTTTGAAAGTAAGGAGTTGTCCGTCTTCCTATCTCAATAAAAAAACTTAAATAAATTTTCCACACAAGAGAAGGTTGTACTTCTCGTTGGTATCTACTTTAACGCGTTACTGTTTCTTTTAATTAAATTTTAGAACAATTATAAATACCTGTTATCCTGGCAACTGTGAAATTTGTCTGACGTCCCACAGATCCTGCAACTTCACTACCCAAGGAGTGTCCGATCAAATGTACAACTGTAACGTTCGCATCAGAAGTCACTATAGTGTTTAATGCATTAGCTACAGTCGCACCGACAGCGTCAACTAATGAAACGGCGTCCAAATAGCTCATATTAGCGACCTCTCGGTAATCAAGTGCAATTATATT